TAAAATGAATGTTTATGCAAACATTAGGCCTATTGACAGTATCACAATACGATTAGCTAATTCAAAATGAGGTTTTCTTACATATTCAATCACTTATTTCTAAAGAAAGCTATAAGATATTTGTTTGTCTGTCGAAGTCCCATTCCTCGGTCAAGTTCAGTGCATTGTACTCCTCCGGACACGATGGACAGTTCTTATTGGTAGGTGAGATCCGTTACATCACCAAGCTTATGACGCGCCGTCTTCCTGTTTCCTTCAGCTGTGTCTTAAAGTGAATCTTGTTGGTGGAGGAGAGCTCGAGCATCAAAGCTCTGCTTTGCGTGCGCCTCCGCAAGCTGCTATGACATAATCACCACGGTCTTTCAGTCTCGAGAGGAGAGGATAGAGGAGAGCGGAGCAAAAGCTCTTTTATATATATTTGTTTATATTCTACGGTCGAGCTCATCACTCACTTTACTCCTGCTCTTCCTTCCCTGAGAAATTATAATATTCAACGTTTCACTGGGAAGACTCCGTAGTCCGTATTCTTTTTCAGCAGTAAAAGAGAGCTTGCCTTTCCCTTCATCTGCGGGTAAGTAACCTTGTCCTCAGATACCTCCCTCTTGTTCTTTTACGTCGCGTGTGTTCGGTGGGCGGAAAAACAAATCAAAACGAGAAACAAAAGACAACGTTAGCTGCCTTTTATGATATTATTAGGCTGAATTGTTTTTCTTTCACCTAAAGTGTGACAAAGTTGGTCATTTTAATGAAGATGATGTGCATATTAATTTTCTCCTTCTAAATCACAGACAGTTCATTTCTAACTTTTAAAAGTAAGTTACTGTCTTTTTAAGTTTGTTAATTTTGAATAAATGTTTTTTTTGGCATATAGGCTAAAGACGTTCAAGGTTGTCGGAGTTGGTTTGATTTGATCAAAGGCTGAAGTCCATTATCTTTGAATCTGTGTGGGCTACACCTTCAAGTCTTGTATATGGTCTTTGTTGTGTGTATTCTTATTCATTCAGTGTTATAAGCTTGTGAATCGTTTCAATGTTATCAAGCTTGGCTTTATCACTATTAATATCATATATATATATATATATATATATATATATATATATATATATATATATATATATATATCATATCAGATAAATGTAATCTACTCATTGAATTGTAGCCTAGGTTTCAGTCTAATAGTGGGGTAACTGTTTCCCTCGTATAATTTATTGTGGTTCGCTGGCTGCTTGAAATGTTGATGATAGTGCCAAGAATGAGCAAATGTTGCTGAAGGAAAAAACGTCCAAAGTGCACACTATGGAGACAACAGGGATATTTGGCACAGACGCACACAACCTGGTCATGGCTATAAAGGAAACAGCTTTTGTCAAATGTCTTTATTATTATTATTATAATTATTATTGTTTTGCATTTTAGCTAACCCTAACCCTTTTCCTGACCTTAACCTAATTATCTTAACCTTCTACTTAAATTATCCTAAACTGCTGCCTAAGTTCTCCAAAACTGCTAAGAATAGTCAAATCTGGCTAAATCTGCAGCCTATCCCCACTGGGCACATACTGGTTGACTCAACCTTGTTTACACATAATTTCAAAGAAATTACGTTGAACCAACGTGGAATAGAAATTAAATTGACATATGTGCCCAGTGGGTCCTTTCTAGTCAAAACCACCCTCATCACCCCGCTCTCACAATTTTTGTTGGCTAAAGTCTAGCAGGCTATGTTATTGTCATATTTTGTATTTTCAGTCATAGACTTGCTTGAATAGTTACTTTGCTCTGTTACAAATCCAAAGGGTTATGAACATATATATATATTTTACCTTCATGGTTCCCCGTTCTCTCTCTCTCAGAGTTGTAAAGATCCTGGGAAAAGGAGCGAGGGGGGATTAAAAGGGCTCGAGAGATGAGTGTAGCTTATTGTTCAACTGCGCTCATATTTCCTTGAAATCGTTGAAAGGTATTCCAAGTAAAAGACTGCGCATGGGCAATGGGGGGCAGGTGCGCCATCGGAAACGACAGGTGCTGGCGGCTTTATTTACATTTTAGTCATTTAGCAGACGCTCTTATCTAGAGCGACTTACAGTCAGTGAGTGCATACATTTTTTTTTTCATACTGGCCCCCCGTGGGAATTGAATCCACAACCCTGGCGTTGCAAACGCCATGCTCTACCAACTGAGCTACACGGGACTAAAAGTTATTTCAAGCGATAACGACATGGCCCATTGTTAAGGTCTTGTGGCACCCAAGGCAAAGTTTCTTGGAGATATATCACCCTTGTTTGAACTACTGGAGATGGATGGATGGAGAGAGTTGAGCCAGAGCCATTTGTCATATTCAGACACAGGCATGCTTTTAATATAGACCAATATTTGTTTAGTCTGTGTAATATATTTCCTTTTATTTTGCCAGACTTCTTTCTGCAATGAATTTTTTTTTTTAATCTGTCAAGCTTCCCCAACCTTGTTTGTTTTTCTTTTAGTTTCACCAATAATGTGCTAAATACATCTTACTGCATGTTTCTCTTGTATTGCTTGATAATACAGTAATACGCCTATCTCAAACAGTTTGCTGCACTTGTAATGATAAAAGTATTATAACACTTGAAATGGGTGTGATATGTGGTTTGGATGAATACACTTACTGTATTATAGGGTCGTTCCATTTGATTTCAATCACTTTTTGACCGCTCCCTTTTGATTTGAACAAAACTTTCTATACATATTTGCCCATGGTAGAAGTGGTCAGAAAGTAACTTATTGGACCTGAATGCCAAAACTTTTTGGAGATAGAGGTGCCCCACCCTACCATGAGATATCCATGTCTTCATCACTGTAAAATATAAACGGCTGAGTTTTATATAATTTAAAAGCTTACAAACAGGGTTGTCAAACTATTTTATAATTTATTTAAAAAACTGTTTTTTGTATTCATTTTTTTTACCTTAAACATCAATTATCAAAAAGATTGTACATTTAACATCATCTGAGTTGTTTGTGTGGTGCCCACCATAGGTTGAGAGACAGCATGTGTTCAACTTTCAAATGGTAGCACAAAGATGGTTGGAGGTCCACACATCAGAGAATGTTGACTTGAATGGGAATATCAGTTATAAAAAATTATACTGTCAATCTTCCATAGGAAACCTATTGAAATCATAGAAATAAAGATAATAGAATACACATCCCCATTTAAGTTGACATTCAACATTGGGTGGACCAGCGGCCATCTTTGTGGTAGCAATTTGAAGTTCAAATTTGAATTCAATTAAAATGTCAATGAGGTACCAGCTAAATTCCAGTGATCCGAAGGGATATACAGTATATGTCATTCTATGAATTCTATTTCTATGACTTAAATTACACCCACCCATCAAGAGAATTCTGCATCTCAAGCGATTAGCGGACACAACACAAACACCTAAGATTATGTAAAACCGGGTCTAATCTACAACATGGGAAAAGGAAAAATAAATCGGACTTCATGCATTTTTTGATAATTGACGTTAAAGGTTAAAAAAGTACATATTTTTTATTATTATTTTTTATTTTTAAGAAATTACAAAATAGTTTAACAACCTTGTTTGTAACTTTTTAAATTATATAAAATTCAACCGTTTATATTTTCAAGTGATGAAGAAATGGATGTCTCATGGTAGGGTGGGGTATGCATAATGGTCAAACTTTGAGCACCTCTATCTCCAAATATTTTTGACATTCATGTCCAAAAGTCACTTTCTACCATGGGCAAATACGTATGAAGGGGGGTGGTCAAAAAGTGATTGAAATCAAATGGAACGACTCTATATGCACTAAATAGGGTGTCTTAATTAAGTGCATATAGGGTCGTTCCATTTGAGTTCAATCACTTTTTGACCACACCCCTTTCCATACATATTTGCCCATGGTAGAAAGTGACTTTTGGACGTGAATGTCCAAAATATTTGGGTATGGGCAACTTCTAATCTAAATTACTAAAATGTAGCCTAAAATGTAGCCTAAAATGTAAATTACCTACTGATGACTGAGGAGAAGAGATTGTAATTAAGACAGCAATAGTTCCACTGTGTTTACTGTGTCGTTGTGGTATACTTAATCCAACCTCAGCCTTTCTCTTTAGTCTTTGAGTTAATGGTTTTCTGTGCCGGCTTGAAGCGAACAAACATGGAAATGAGGACAAGTACTTAAGTAATTATCATAATTTTATGCAGCTTTGTGTTGCGTGGGAACTGGTTCAGTGTTGCACAGGCAGGCAGTGTGGAACAGGGGACAGACAAGGGAAAATGTAGGGTGTGTCTGAAATGGCACCCTATACCACAGTTTCAGGAGCTGGACAAGACACCCTATTTTTGACTGATGACTGACACAAGGGCATGTACATGATAGGCCTATCTGGCCTATATGATTATGATGGTGATAATGCTTCATTTTCTTAGTCCAAGTAAAGTGACACAGGATGGTCATAATGCTTCATGACAGTGTCATAAAGTCTATTTTCTGCAAGTTATTTAAAATATGATGAAAAAAAAACCATGACTGTAAAGAATTCATTACAACAACAACAAAGGACTTAAGAAATACATTTTCAAACGAAATGAAGCTTCTTGACAGGGAAGAAACACATTACAATAAATGTGGGTTTTGACACTCTTATGTAGGTGTCATAACAAGCCATAAAATAACACAATATATGTCACAACAGGTGTAAATATATGGGTCATGACAGTGTTATGACCATGTTATGACAGGTTATGACAAGTTATGTCAGCTGTTGTGACATATTATGACATGGTTATGACAAGGTTAACGTGTTACCGAAAAGGTAATATTTCATGTCATGTTTTGATATCAGACAACATGGTGGCATTTTAAAGGAAATGATTAATCCTCTTCAATGAATCAATAAATGTTTCCTTTATGTTTTCATTCTACAGGTGTCATTCAGCAGTGGTCCTAGAGGAGTGGCTTTGTGGGATATGGCCCAATAGCAGCAGCCCGTGATGCCGGACCATTACAGTGACTCCCTCCTGAGCAGACAGACCAAGAGAAGACGAGTGGACATTGGCGTGAAGAGGACTGTGGGCAGCAACGCCGCCAACGCAGCAGCCACAACCAGCGCCGACATCGCCCGTGCCAAAGCAGCCATCTTCGGTGCTATGAACTCTCTCAACTCCTACCACCATGGCTCCGATGCAGACTCCATGGACTGCTCCATGGTGCAGCCGCACGGCCACGCCGGGGTCGTCACAGCAACCGACAGCGAGTCCAAGTCCAACGTGCTCCGGAAGCTCCTGAAGAGAGCCAACTCGTATGAAGACGCCATGATGCCCTTCCCGAGTGCCACTATCATCTCCCAGCTCCTCAAGAGTAACATGGCCAAGAACGGAGGAGGAGAGAGAGGGGAGAGGGGGGAGAGAGGAGAGAGAGGGGATGGGGAGTTCCCCAGGTCGGGCCTCTCCAGTGGGGGTTCCGAAGCTCCCCAGGAGGACGCATGCAGTAATTCGTCCCAGGACAGCCCCCAGGAGTGCCTGTTCCCCTTTGGCCATCCCCCAGCTCTGGGCGCCTTCGACCTGGAGCGCCTCAACGACGAGCACCTCCGGGCCAAGCGCGCCCGCGTGGAGAACATAATCCGGGGCATGAGCCACTCGCCCAGCGTGGTGGTGCCCACACGCCACCTCGGAGAGCGGGACCACGAACTGGAACAACGTGAACGGGAGAGGGAGCGAGAGATGGACGCTGACAGGGACAGAGAGATGGAGATGGACTGCCCCCCACAGCCGCCCAGCCCCAGGGGAGAATTGTGCAGCCGGGAGAACAAAAGGAAGCAGCGCCTTCCCCAGCAGCAGCAGCAGAGCTTCACCCAGCTGGTGTGCCAGCGTAAAGAGCAGAAGCAGGAGGAGCGCAAGCAGCTGAAGCTGCAGCTGGAGGACATGCAGAAGCAGCTGCGCCAGCTGCAGGAGAAGTTCTTCCAGATCTACGACTCCACAGACGACTCAGAGCACGACCTGGCCCATGACCTGGGCAACATGTCTGAGGACAGCGCCGGGAGGTCTGATGCTGGGGGAGATGATCGGACACACCGTTCCGACAATGAGATGTCAGACCAGGATCCGGGACACTTCCTGGACCGGGCAAGGGCGTTGCTCCAGGAGCAGGCCCTGCTGACTGAGGGGGATAAGCTCAGGAGAGAGGTGCTGGTCCGGGGGAAAGGTCCTGGTCAGGGCCCCTCCATGCATCATGCAGAGGGCAAGCTGCTGGCTGAGACGCTGAAACAGGAGCTCAACTCGGCAATGAACCAGGTGGTGGAAACAGTGGTCAAGGTGTTTACCAAGCCCCCGCACCCCACACCCCCCCAGGTCTTCCCGCCCCTCCCCATGCCCCCAGAGAGGTTTGGTGTCAACGGCAAGGGCTCCAACCTCCATACAGCCAACCAGCGCCTGCAGTGCTTTGGCGACGTCATCGTTCCCAATCCCCTGGACTCATTCGGCGGCATACCTGTGCCCGGCGCCAATGACCAGACGGAGGCGCTGCCCCTGGTGGTGAGGAAGACCCAAACGGAGCACCATCACCAGTCCTCAGCCGTGGGCGCCCACGGGGGCCATCACCACCCCTCCCTACACCCCTCCTCCCTCTCTGCCTCCATGGGCTTCAGCCCCCCTTCTTTCCGCCACCCCTTTCCCCTGCCTCTCATGGGCTACCCCTTCCAGAGACCTCTGGGCCCACCCTCCGGGGGTTACCCAGGGAAGGACCGCTCCTCCCCAGACTCCATTGACCTGTCCATGGAGACCACCAGCCTGCGGACCAAAATGTCATCAGGGCACCACATGGGGCACCACCACCGGTCGCTCTCTCCGACCCACCCCGGGAGCACCGCAGAGGGGCTCTCCCTGTCCCTCATCAAGTCAGAGTGTGGAGACATGAGCGACATGAACGACATCTCACCATACTCAGGCAGCACCGTATCCTTCACCACACTGAGAGAGGGAGGAAGGCGGGGAGGGAGGGGCATGAGTAGGAGAGAGAGTTAGAGATGCTATAGAAGGGCTGCTTGTTCATCTTAGATAGTGTGACTATTGCATATTATTGCTAAATCACCACACTTTCAGTTCTCTCAAAAACACCCCTCTTTTTTATTTGATCATACCTTTCGCTCTACTAAATGGTTAAAAGCACTCTAGTCACTCTACCATTGGTCAGATAATGTCTCCACGACATTTCTAGCCCTGATTCCCATTTGAAACATGACTGAAAGAGCCAAAAGCTATAGGAAGCTGAAGTTGAGCACAATGGCTGTCTATATTGACATCTATAGTTTAACCCCTGTGTACCCCAATCATGGGCTGCAGATAAAGAGCTAAGGTTCCTATGGGAGGATCACATTCAACCCACTGGGACTGGGCCTAATAGCCTCAACTGATCCGTTCAGTTAGCCCCATTCTCCTAAATAGGCTACCCCTCTACCATTCAGATCTGTCTTTGCAAAGACCTTTCACTCATGAAGCTTCCGTAGCAGTTATTTTGTGTGATTACTATCACTGAAAATGTTATATCAATGACACACACATATACAGTATACACTGACTATACAAAACATTAAGAACACCTTCCTAATATTGAGTTGCAAGCCCCCCTTTTGCTCTCAGAACAGTCTCAATTCGTTGTGGGATGGACTACAAGGTGTTGAAAGCGTTCCACAAGGATGCTGGCCCATGTTGACTCCAACGCTTTCCATGGCACACATACACAATCCATGTCTCAATTGTCTCAAGGCTTAAAAATAATTATTTCACCTGTCTCCTCCCCTTCATCTACACTAATTGAAGTGGATTTAACCAGTGACATCAATAAGCGATCATCGCTTTCACCTGGATTCACCTGGTCAGTCTATGTCATGGAAAGAGCAGGTGCCCTTAATATTTTGTACACTCAGTGTATCTATGGTATTAAAGGCTTGGACATGTTTTGGCTGTCTGACAGCAACTACTGAGAATTGACAGTGAGCAAGTTTTTATTTTACTTGTCTGTGTCTAAAAGTTAGAAATTGATGAATGCATCTAACATTGATGCTACTGTATGGCTACTGTATGTTAGTGCTGATGTGTGTCACCTCAGGGCTCGGCCTTTGTGTATGTTTGTGTGTGTGTGGGAGATAGGGTTCGCCTGAGGACTCAGTAAAAACGTTTATAAATGTTTTATCTTTCTCACCCCCTCCTCCCTGTCTTTTCTTTGAAACGGACGTTAACAGGTGTTTGCAGCGAGCTGTTTTACTTTCATTACGGTGCCTTATTTTGTCTTCTGACCAAAGGGGGAGCACTTCCCAGAGATCCATAATCCTCTGCTACTCTGAGAGAGAGAGAGAGAGAGAGAGAGAGAGAGAGAGAGAGAGAGAGAGAGAGAGAGAGAGAGAGAGAGAGTAAAACAATTAAAACAATAACTTCATATGCCAGATGCTTTTTTTCTAATGTGGCGTTTATAATTATGGGGCATTAATAGATGTACTCACTTTAATGGGAAGAATAGTTAGAACAACACGGCCATGTGTTACAAATTCATTTTATTTTTCGCCACAGGTTAATTTCACGGCTCCAACAACTAAAGACGGCACAGATTGTCAGACATTTTGTGGGGTTTGTTAAAGTTCATCGGTGTATATTGTCCTTACACCTGAAATGAGGAAGTGGAGCAGCTATTTTCTCTCTTGACTTTGAGGTTTTGGGGAAGTGCTGTAGAGAATGATGATGACTTGTAGGATGTGCTCAGAGAACACTAGGCCAGCTGGTACAAAGGCACCAACATGGCTAAATAATAGCCGTGTGTCACCCCAAGTCCAATCACTATTACATTTGCAAGCTGTGAGAGATATTAATTAATCAAGATTCACTGTTGCTTGATTGTGTGCTTGATGGTGAAGCATAGGGAGAAGATCCTGTGTTTATAGATTTTTGCGACTTAAAAATAATGTATTTAATTATATAGAAAAGTAATCTATGTAATGATGTGATTGTCATTAGTTTTGAATTATTTTGATTTAGAAGCGAGAGCGTAGTAGTCTCATTGGGAAAGCCCAGTCTTATGGGACTGACATGATTGTGTCTTTACAGCAGCAAGCCACCTTGCCCGCTTCTCTCTCTCTCTCTCGCTTCTCTCTCTCTCTCTCTCTCTCTCTCTCTCTCTCTCTCTCTCTCTCTCTCTCTCTCTCTCTCTCTCTCTCTCTCTCTCTCTCTCTCTCTCTCTCTCTCTCTCTCTCTTGCTCTCTCTGAGGGGCCATTGTATCCCTCGCTCTTGGAGCAGATGGTGTGGTGTGGTGTGGAGAGTGGAGGGCTGCTCTTTTGGCCAGGCCTGTCGGAATACGTTTAGCCTGCCAGGGTTCTCCCCATTGGCCCTCCCTCCCTATTGTTGGACATACATACAGACCTACAGAGTAGCCCTTTATTTGTCGGTTCAAGAGATAATAGTTACTACTGATTGCTTTCCGCTCGAGGACAGAGACCTTTTTCATTCTGCTCTGGGTTTTATATGTAGCTCATCTCTTTTCAATGTCTTAGCCCCAGATTGATATTAGCTGAATTATACAGCCGTTAATTCACCGTGGAAATGGCTTGGGCCCGTCCGCAGCACAGATGTGTTCCAGGGATGCAGCGCCTATCACTGGATGGGTTCACTGCCTTGGAGGCCCTCTTCCTCCTCCTCCCTCCTCCTCCTCCCAAGGTTTGGCAGCACTATGGAGGCTGGAGGCTGTGGGAGGAGCAGGGGGAGGAAGGGGGTGTAAATGAGGTTGAAACAACTCTATCGTTCAATGTGCCCCCCCAACCACCCCCTCCTTCCTCCTGAGACTTCCATTGGAAAACCTTAGTTTCTAAAATCTATGACGTGTGTATTTTAAATGAATAAGGTCTACAGCTCTGTTATAGAGAGACAAGGCACTTAGAAACTTCGTACGGGTTGTCCCTTTAAAACCTTGTTTTTACATCAATATGAAGCCAATGTTACGTCAGTAGATCCTGTCTTTAGTTGTAATGTCTTGTCGCCAAGCCATTAGGCTCCTCTCTCATAACCAGTGTTAACTGCTTTCTTTGTCTGTGATATGCAAATTTCTCATTTGTTTCTTCCTTTTTTTGGGTGGAGGTTGGAGGGGGGTATGATGAGGGGAAGAGGGAAAGGCGTTTGCTTACTTTGACTGTGAAATGAGCTCCTTATGTAAAGGCACCAGCTGTGGCGCTGGCCAACGTTTTATTTACTGTGACGCGCTCACACCTGATTCGGAGTGGATGCTAATCGCAAGCAAATGGTTTGGCCCTGGTTCACTCACTACTCCCTAACAACTAACAACTGATTCAAGATCAGCCCTACCCTTCTCCAGTGCTATTGTTATCCTAAAACAATGAATGTTAAACGCATAATATTGGTTTGGCCTATATATATTATAGTCTTCAAGGAAAACAATGAACTAGCTAATTATTGTACATTAAGTGCATGTTAATTACACATTAGTTATATTAAAAACACATAATCTGAAATAGCAGTGGTTGTAGGTCAAGTTTACACATTGCTCAGATTGCAAGGTCAGCCATTTTAATTATAATTTCCCCTCCAAAGAACGGTATATTTCCTTGACGGCAGCCATGTTCAGATTCAGGAGGGTCTCTCCCCCAACCACCTGAAGAAGGCGAAGCTCATGTTCTTCTACGCTCGTTACCCCAGCTCCAACATGCTCAAGATGTTCTTCTCCGACGTCAAGGTGAGCCACACCCCGGCACCCCAACCTTTCACCTTTCACCTTTCCACCTCTATCATCATGAAAGGAGTAGGATGACGTAGGCCCTAGACTAATGTTGCTCCTTGAAGTAGAAGTTGCCCTTGGGCACTGATCTAAGATCAGTTTACCCTCCCAAAATCCTAAACTTAATTATTTACCCAGTGGTTATGGTAGGAATTTGGTGAGTGTAAGCTGATCCTAGATCTGCTACATGAAGCTCATGAAAACATACTTTGGGCTGGCACTCCTCTGTCTACCTGTAGCTGTCTCCATAGTTATCTACCTGTCCAGGTGTGTTCAACACCGTCTTTGTGTCTGTCCTTTGTCTTTCCAGCGGAAGTGACTGTCCTTGCCCCCGGTGACAACTGTAAAGACAGATCACCATGCCTGGTCTTTTCTTCCTTTTTTTTTGCTCTTGTGTTTTTCTATGCCTGTGCACTTACCTCAGACTACAGTTAAAAGTTGAGTGAAGCGATTACTCTTCTCACTGAGATGTTCTTCCAGGATAGTGCTGTACTAACGTGAAGTGCCTGTTGTAACATGCATGGTGTATGGAGTATGGAGTATTCTTGTGTGTCTTGCTGCAATGCTTCTGTATGAGGATCTTTCCCCTATTAAGTCATGGCTTTATGCAAAAGAGAGAGGATGAGGAAGTTGTAATAGGTAATATTTAGAAGGGAGAGGGACTGGGGGAGCATGTAAAAGGGTTGGAGAGGGTGCGATGAAGGAGGGGTAGACATGGGGTAGATGATAGGATAGCGTGCAGAGAAACAGGAGGGGTTATCTGAGCAGGTGTAAGGGTGGGAACGGAGTGAGGGAAAGAAGGAGAGAAGGACGGAGTAGGGAAATGGTAAGGATGAGCATGAGGTATGTGGGGTTAGAGGACAGGGCCAGGGTGTGAACAAACAAAGCACAAGTTAGCAGCACAACAGAGAACAATGCAACAAGGCTACACAAGAGATGTGCTGGTGTCTTGTTTGTTTTGTTGTTGTTGTTGTTGTTGTTTTTGTTCCGTCCCTCTCGGACCATAAGGAGGGTAAACACTGTGACAGATCCAGGTTATCTTATTCAAATCAGCAGAATAAGGTCCCTTTTTTTCCCCCAGCTGCCCCCTCTGTCACCATAGTGACCAACTACTAACCACAACCCCCAGGTCACGTGACAAGCTCCCTCGTCGAGTTTTAGGAGGGGCGATGATGTGTGTTTTGTGTGTTTGTGATGAGGGTGGAGGGGTGGGGGTGGCACTCTCACTGTCAAGGCGGGCATAGGCCGCTTTCACTCCCTGAGTTTAGATGATAGATAATAGAATCTCTGCCACAGTATTTTTTATGACTGGATGATAGTCTCTCCTATTTTTGTTGGTGGTCCAAAATTCACCTGGTATGGTAGCTAGTGCGGTTAGCACATTTGAACCCATTGTTTATCAGTATCCTAGTCCGACTAATTTCTTTTGAAGGACGTATCTCGGTAATACTTTATTTAGATAGTCCATCTGTAGATGCTCTACAGACCATCGGTTACATTTCAACTAACTATCTACTAACCCTAGCCCTAACCCTTATCCTAACCCTAAACTTAACCCTAACCTTAACCCTTACCCTAAACCTAACCCTAACCGTAATCTTATCAAGCATTTGCTTGTCAACAGATAGTTTGTTAATAGTATGAAAATCTGTAGAGCATCTACAAATGGACTATCCGGACTATCCAAATAAAGTGTGACCGGTATCTCAAATTGAATGGCATTACCATACACTTAAACAACAAGGTCAAATAGTTAAGGGGATTAAGATTGTAGTGTCTTTGTCTTGGTTAACAGTGGAGGACAATGGAGGTGGCATGGCTAAGATAGTCTCCATATATGGGAATGGGAGCTGCCAGTTCATAAACAGTCAATGAACTAAACAGACCAGACCCAGCTGCTATCGGATTGGTGCCTATGGGAGAGCCACCCCTTAATTATTTTCAATGGTAAACGGCATGAGTGGGACATCTTCATTCATCCACCATCTTTGGAGTCGCTAGTGACTAACTAATTAGGCATGGCCAGCTGATGCAAGGCAAGGAGAGTGGCATTATTAGACAAATGTGCTCTAAGAGCTAATAAGATCTTGACTAATAAGGTCCCGACTGTAGAAGTATGTAATGAACGTGGGAAGTGGGTTGGCCTGACAACGGCGTGACGCTGCGCCGTCTTGACGCTCGTTAACTAGGGATGGTGGAAGAGCGTTCTGACTCCTGACCTGATAGGTAAATGTTGTGACAGATGTAACATAATATGATTGTTGTTGTCGCTGCATCAGTTTAGCATCACACTATCCTTTCACTTACTAGGTATGGTAGCTAGTGCGGTTAGCACATTTGAACCCATTGTTTATCAGTATCCTACTACTTGTGGTCCTCTGTAGCTCAATTGGTAGAGCATGGCGCTTGTAACGCCAGGGTAGTGGTTTCGATCCCCGGGACCACCCATACGTAAACATGTATGCACACATGACTGTAAATCGCTTTGGATAAAAGCATCTGCTAAATGGCATATTATATTATTATATTATATTACTACAGATCATGATTGATCAACTTGTGTGTTTTGACATGGTTCAGTTAGCCATCACTATTGATCGCCAATCACCAGCTTCTCTGTTTTGACCCAGACAGGTCATAGGTTATTGTTATGGTGTGATGGATGAACAATAGGCTAAACACAACCTTAGCATTATGTCTGGTTTCTATATTTCAGTGGATGTGATGTCAGAGACAGTAAATGTCAATGTTGTTTAAAAATGTTGGGTTCATAAATGAACTCTGAATACACAAACGAGGAAGCAAAATTATTCAAATGACGTCCCAAACTGATGCTGTTGTGAAAATGTCTCTCTCTCTCTCGCTCTCTCTCTCTCTCTCTCTCTCTCTCTCTCTCTCTCTCTCTCTCTCTCTTTTCATGAGAGCTCTTGTTTTGGACACTCTCACTGCCCCCCACTCCCCCCCCCTCTCTCTCTCTCTCTCTCTCTCTCTCTCTCTCTCTCTCTCTCTCTCTCTCTCTCTCTCTCTCTCTCTCTCTCTTTCTCTTCATCTCTTTATCTCTCTTTCTGTCAGGCCGTTGTGTGTATTCGGCACACATGCCTCGCTATTTGTGCAAGTGGTGCTGTGGAGTGGATGAGGTCAGGAGGTTTTTCCTTTCTATATCTCATTCCTTGTCTTGTCTTTTTTTTTGCTGATGGTGTGGGATGCTCGCCCTGCGCTACGAAAAGCCAGGCTCTGGATTCCAGGGCCGGTTTGTGTAGAGTCAGCCAATAGGCAACGAGAGATTACCTCCCACAATTCACCCCTGCAAAAACAGGAAGCGGTAGAAAGCCCTTATGACTGTGGAGGGGCTTTAATCAGAGAGAGAGAGAGCGACAGAGAGGCCGCTTCTGTTTCTGCTCCTCTTGTTGTTTTTCAAATAGCTTGGTTGTCTGAGGTCATGTGATTCTTCCTCCTCTCCATTGTTTGGCAGGCAGGGAGATGGACGGACACAGAGCAGAGTGTACCTGTTTTTCTGTCTGTCCTGGGCAGAGCTGCTGGGTGACTTTACTGTCAATGTCATCACAATGTGCAGGAGACACCTTGTTGGTGTGTCTCTCTCCTTTGAGGTCTTTCAGTCTGCCGTATTTGTGATGTCATACGATCACTGATAATACAGAATGGGGAATTAACATGATCTAACAAAGTTTACTCAGCAGCTCTCTAAAATATTACTGGATAAGCTTATGACATGTACAATACATGACCAAAAGTATGTGGACACCCGCTCGGCGAACATCTCATTCAAAAATTATGGGCCACGTTGAAAGTCATATGGAGTTGGTCCCCCTTTTGCTGCTATAACAGCCTCCACTGTTCTGGGAAGGCTTTCGACTAGATGTTGGAACATTGCTGCGGGGACTTGCTGCCATTCAGCCACAAGAGCATTAGTGAGGTCGGGCACTGATGTTGGGCGATTAGGCCTGGCTTGCAGTCGGTGTTCCAATTCATCCCAAGGTATTCGATGGGGTTGAGGTCAAGGCTCTGTGCAGGCCAGTCAAGTTCTTCCACACCGATCTCAACAAACCATTTCTGTATGGACCTCGCTTTGTGCACGGGGGCATTGTCATGCTGAAACAGGAAACAGCCTTTCCCAAACTGTTGCCACAAAGTTGGAAGCACAGAATCATCTAGAATGTCACTGTAGCGTTAAGATTTCCCTTCACTGGAACTAAGGGGCCTATCCCGAACCATGAAAAACAGCCCAAGACCATTAGTCATTCTCCACCAAACTTTACAGTTGGCACTATGCATTGGGGCAGGTAGCGTTCTCCTGGCATCCGTCAAACCCAGATTCATCCGTCGGACTGCCAGTTGGTGAAGCATGATTCATCACTCCAGAGAACACGTTTTCACTGCTCCAAAGTCCAATGGTGGCGAACTTTACACCACTCCAGCCGACGCTTGGCATTGCGCATGGTGATCTTAGGCTTGTGTGCGGCTGCTCGGGCCATGGAAACCCATTTTATTTTGCTCCCGACTAACAGTTCTTGTGCTGACGTTGCTTCCGATTTTTACACACTATGCGCTTCAGCACCCGGCGATCCCATTCTGTGAGCTTGTATGGCCTACCACTTCGTGGCTGAGCCGTTGTTGCTCCTTGACGTTTCCACTTCACAATAACAGCATTTACAGTTGACCGGGGCAGCTCTAGCAGGGCAGAAATTTGATGAACTGACATGTTGAAAAGATGGCATCCTATGGTGTTGCCACATTGAAAGTCATTGAGCTCTTCAGTTAGGCTATTCTACTGCCAATGTTTGTCTATGGAGATTGCATGGCGGTGTGCTCGATTTTATACACGTCAGCAACTGGTGTGGCTGAAATAGCCGAATCCACTAATTTGAAGGGGTGTTCACATACTTTTGCATATATAGTGAATGTCCCTGTTGTCTTATAGAAAATGAATAGGATTTTGTTTCTGTGTTGAAAAGAGTTTAATCGTTGGGACTTGAGTGTTTTCCTTCTCTGGTGCTGTGTGTATAGTTTTATGTAGGTTGCATGATAGGGTAGAGTGTGTGTGTGTGTGTTTTGTTCCTTTGTTGATAACGTTTAAGGTTGACCTTTTGCAGGCTCTCGAGTGTGAGTGTGAGTGTGAGTGTGAGTGTGAGAAACACGCTCTCGCCGTCCCTCTTAGCCAATCACGCCTACACATACACGCGCACACACACACTCCAACAGGCCATGGACATCTCATGTCTCTCTTGGCTGACCCCTGCCAGCTCAGATTAAGGAGTCCCGGTGATGTGTTGCTTTGAAATAGTTCCCCACAACAGAACACTGACGGAACACTGAACACTCTGGTCCTTTGTCCCCCCACAAGCAACTTAATGAAACAAGAATGGGCCTGATTTGCAACAAATACCTTTAGTAGACACACTTAAATTGAATCTCTCTCTTTCTCTCTTTGTATGCATGTAATGTGTGATTTAACCACATTTCATCCTCGTACAGTAGATATTCCATACAGTAGATTGAAACATGCATTGTGTCAGATAGATGTTGAGCTATAAATCCTGTATAATGAAGTGATCCTTGTCCAAAGTGACAAATCTATCAGTCAGAGGGCTGGAGTGACACTAAAGGTCTCCAGTGTGAGTGATGACATCTCTTTCACTGACTTTAATCTCAGTATGCAGCCCTCAATCACACACACACAAACACACACATACACACACACAGGTACCGCTCACCCCAACCCATCCAATAGAGAGTGATGTGTCTGAGTAGTGACGTATCTGTGATAGTGAACGCACAAGTGTATGTGCATGAGTGTGTGTGTATGTCTCTTTTTGAGACTACATCAAATATGTGTACAATAATAGCCCCTGTGTGTGTGTAATTGTAAGAGTCAGTTATTTGTTTGTTTGACACTTCGATGTCATGACCCTTGCCTGCTGACAGTTCACGTTCCTACGCTGCCCTGGTCTATTGTCCAGCCCTGCTGTTCTCTACACCCCTCTCCCTCCCCCTACTACCCCCCCCCCCCATGCAAAACAATGTCAGGCAGACTTACTCTTTCAGTCCTCCCCCATTATGTCATCCACAGACCATTCCAGAAAATAATGACCCCTCCTTTGCCCCCCCCCTCCAATCCCTGTCTCTCTCATCCTCTCCCTCTCTCACTTTATCTCTCCCTTTTTTTCTCTCTCCTTCCTCTCTGTCACAGCCCATGCCTAGCTCAAATGAGGCCGTGTGTGAGCCTGCGCTAGTGTGTGTGCATGTGTGTGTGTGTCGGCCCGGATCAGATGAGAGTGTGTTCTGGAACAATAGTCAGAGCCTAATCTCCATGTCAAAACCGCTCTCCCTCCCCAGCGAGTGGCTGCTCGGCATTTAGTAATGTTTTCTCTCCTATTCTCCCAGAATCACAAAAAGAGCAGAAAGGAGGCATGGAGGGTGAGAGTGGGGGAGTTGGTGTAGGGACGGGGCAGGGATATGGGGATAGGGGAGTGTAAGGCTTTTAGGGAGGGGGCTGAGGGATGAGTTAAAGGATTTGGGGGGGCTGAAGGATGAGGTAAAGGGTTTTGAGGGATGTGTGCGTGTGCATGTGTGTGCGTGTGCATGTGTGTGCGTACCCGCACGTGTGTGTGTGCGTACGTTTGTGTGATGGTCCAGGCTGGGGACTGTTCTGGGCCCTGAGGTCCTTATCTTCCTTTCTGTCTGTTTGGACAATGTGTTTTCAGTAGCGAGGCAAAACGGAAGACAGCTCCAGCTCCACTAGGCCTTTAATAGGTTTATGTCCTATTGAATCCATGCAGCCACACAGATCAGATAGCCAGGCCTTCTCAGCACTAATCATCTCTCTCTCTATTCTTCTCTCTCTATTTTTTTCTTTTCCCCCTTTCTTTTCTTTTACTCTAGCCTGAGAGGGGTGGAGAGGCAGGGTGCAGTGCAGGGTAATTGGTGAATGGGGTTAAGTACATGTTTGAGCCCCCTGCGGGCAAGGGAGCTTTAGATGATGACTTAATCGTTTTTCTGGTCAATTATGTGTTTGTGGTTGCTCCCCTCCCAGCCCAGCCACGTTTACGATAGGGGGAGGTCCAGTCCCCCAGGGAAAAGAACAGAATAGCAGACACACACTCTCACTCTTTTTCTTCTCTCTTCCTCTGTCTTACTTTATGTCTCTATTTATTATCTTCTCTCTCCGTCCTGCTGCGGTCTTTCTCTCTCTTGTCTTTTATCTCTTTCTCTGTTATCGGCCTACCTCCAGACTCCCTGATGTGATATGAATCCCCCTATGCCCCCTTAACTACACCTTAACTACACTCAACAATGATGTCTTCATCACAGAGCCCAGAAAGCCTTAAAACGCTTGGTTCTGCACAATAATGTGGCCCTATATATTTTATAATTTCATGGCATTTTGGACATGTCAAATAAAATCTAATCCAATATTATTAGTGTTGGTATTATCATGATGTCAATTAATTATCCAGGTTAAATAAATTACCATTATTTATGAAATAATTATTTTCATAATTATGATAATTATTACTCAAAATCTCTCTGACCCTTTATCTCTCATAGTTTAACTACCAGGGTTGGGCTCAGTTCCGAATTTAATTGAGAATGCCTCCTAAATTCCAATTCAATTCTTGAATTTGAATAGAATTTGAAGTAGTAAAAAGGATACAGAATCGCAATTCGAATTTGAATGAAAGGAAATATAATTAAATTCAGTTAAACTAAATGAAATTCAAAAGCCTCTTCTATTTTATATTAGGTCTTGTCTATACAAATAAACATCTTGTACAATTTTCAGGACAAACTCTTCAAATGAATGATCACGGAAAGCGAAACCTGTATATTATCCTAAATTATTATATTTCATGAATCACCTACATTTTGTTCAATATGGGGAAAACACTACATTTCCAAGAATGCATTAGTTTAACCTAAAATATATAATTAGAAAATTAAGACAAAATGGCTGCTTGTCACAAAAAGCTTAGAGATGTGATCTGAATAATGTTATTTACCACCCTCAAATTCACTAACAGGGCTTTGGACTCTTAGGCCCAATTGCTCTGTCATTAGCTTAGCTGCATGTTAAGCATCAAGCTGAGTTTTAGCTAACATTTTTGTAAACAAGTCTATGCTGTGACAGAGCAATTGTCCCATATGTTTTAAATTGGTTGTTTACATTATAATTGTTTGTAAACATTTAAATAAAAGCCTACAAATATAGTGGGAATGATCAGTAGTTCTAAGCTCATGAGGCATAAACAGTATGAGTGATTTTCTCCAAGAATCAATGGCTTTACATTATATCCAAAAATGTCCGCAAAATCTTTGCACCAATCACGGAGGTATGGTCTAATATAACTGCATTGTTTGTCGAGAAAATATAATTGCCTTTCCACTCGCTAAGGTTAAAAGAGTATATGAACATTGTTTCCAGAGAAAAGTGATATATTCTTTGGTATCTGGAAGTGTAACCTGTCAGATTCAATGAAACACTCATGTTCTATGACTGAGTGGAATTTCTTTGAATTGCCCTGAATTAAATTATACTTCCTGTCACAAACTCAAATTCAATTTGAATTTCAACTCATGAGTTGAATTGAGGTTAATTCCAAAATGCTGAATTTATCCCAACCCTGTTAACTACTATACTGTATATTATTATTATTATTTTTTTGGTCATTTAGCAGACGCTCTTATCCAGAGCGACTTACAGGAGCAATTAGGGTTAAGTGCCTTGCTCAAGGGCACATCGACAGATTTTTCACCTAGTCGGCTCAGGGATTAGAACCAGCGACCTTTCGGTTACTGGCACAACGCTCTTACCCACTAAGCTACCTGCCGCCCTATATAATACATAGGGCATATATAATACATTATAACATTATAACATTATTATCATATAATCCTTATTATTAAAGCCCCTCTCTCCCATCTCTCCTATCTCTCCTATCTCTCCTATCTCTCCTATCTCTCCTATCTCTCCCATCTCTCCCATCTCTCCTATCTCTCCTATCTCTCCTATCTCTCCTATCTCTCCCATCTCTCCTATTTATCCTATCTCTCCTATCTCTCCTATCTCTCCTCTCCCGTAGTTTAACCGCTGCATCACGTCCCAGCTCATCAAGTGGTTCAGTAACTTCCGGGAGTTCTACTACATTCAAATGGAGAAGTTTGCCCGGCAGGCTATCAACGACGGTGTCACCGGGGTGGAGGAGATGAGCGTCAGCCGCGACTGCGAGCTCTACCGAGCCCTCAACATGCACTACAACAAGGCCAATGACTTTGAGGTAGGACCACTTTTAGTTCGACACCCATTTACTGCTATGTGACCATAGTCTTGCCTGAATAATAATGTGATGCACGGTTTAATAAGGCTAATGATGTTGCGGTAGTACACCATTCAGTGCAACACTTATTCAGTACTACTCACCACTGATTAGCTCACTCAGTATTTTTTGTAATGTACAATAAAAGTGTCCTGATACCAAACATAAAGTATACATACACTACCTGGGAAGGGTGAGTTCCCCTTAGTGGACTAGATAGATAGATAGATAGATAGATAGATAGATAGATAGATAGATAGATAGATAGATAGATAGATAGATAGATAGATAGATAGATAGATAGATAGATAGATAGATAGATAGATAGATAGATAGATAGATAGATAGATAGATAGATAGATAGATAGATAGATAGATAGATAGATAGATAGATAGATAGATAGATAGATAGATAGATAGATAGATAGATAGATAGATAGATAGATAGATAGATAGATAGATAGATAGATAGATAGATAGATAGATAGATAGATAGATAGATAGATAGATAGATAGATAGATAGATAGATAGATAGATAGATAGATAACTCAATGACTTATCAAAAACAAAAAAAGCTAATTAAAAAACACCCTCTTGTGTTCCCTGAGAGAGAAGTACAGTAAGGGTGTTCTAAATGCTTATGAAATGTTTGCAGAACGTTGAGTCCAGCACAATAGGTCTTCAATGTCAGCTGACAATAGGCCTTTAAAAGTCTGCAGCTGAGAATGGCCTGGAGTGGTGTGTGTGTGCGTGGGTGTGTGTGTTTTGTTGTTGCTGCATTTCCCAGTGTCCTGCTCACCTCGAAGGGTACAGCCGTCCCTTAGACCGGCCGCCGTGCTGGCGAAGCACTTCTCCAGTGTGTGTGTGTGTGTGTGTGTGTGTGTGTGTGTGTGTGTGTGTGTGTGTGGTGTGTGTGTGTGTGTGTGTGTGTGTGTGTTTGCATGCATGTGTGTTTGTGTGTCACTTTCAGGAGGGAAAATCTCACTGTTATCAAGGTTAAGTGTCCCACTGTTTTAGCAAGAGGAATGGGGAGAGAGAGAAAAAAGACAGGCAGAGAGGGAGATGGATAGATAGGGGAGCAAGGGAGGGAGAGAGCATGGGGAATAGAGAGAAGATGGAAAGGGGAGAAAAAGGGTAGAGAGAGGGAGAGGGAGAAAGAAGGATAAGAGAAGGAGAGAAAACGCTATGCGGAGAGTGCCCTTGTGGCAGGGGAATTCTGCAGCGCTCACATTTAAAGTGCCTCTCTCTCCCTCTCCTATGTCCGTTATGTGTCTGTTTGGGCTCTTCTTCTCTCCTCACACCCACGCACACACGCACACACACACCTCCCCCATCCACCCTAGGCCCATTTCGGGATTTGATCTACTGTAGAGGAACAGAAGCACTTCCATATGAATTCATAATGCCAAAATGTACAGCATAACAGCAACCCAAGTTCCCCAACTCAAATCAGACAAGACAGACCAGGCATTCTTCTCCTGTACCAGGAAACTAGCCTTGGTTAGAAATTTGCAAGCAGACAGAGAGAGGGAGAGGGAGAGAGGGAGAGAGAGAAATGGTGCAGGTGAATAAGTATTCTATTGACTGAGGAGCTGGGACGGTGGTGTGGGGGAGGAGGGTGTAGACGTTTTGCATATTAAGGTTTTTCGCAGCAGGTGTCTGGGAGATATAAGAGCTGATTACAGAGGAGCACAAGAAAAATTTGCCCAGCGATGCAAATACACCACCCCGACACAAACGAACTGCCTTGGCCAGTGTGAAGTCTTCCGGTGTGTGCGTGTGAGGGTGTTTTGTCTGTGTGTGTGTGTGCGTGCCTTGTGAGTCAGATATGTGAGGTGTAGATGGAAATATACTGGATGTGTATCTAGATGCCCCCAAGGAGGAGAAGGAAGGGCAGTGATCTATAGAAAAGGGCCTTGGGGGCACCTAGATACACATCCAGTATATTTCCATCTACACCTCACATCTCTGACTCACAAGGCATGCACACACACACACATCTGTGTTTTTTCTTGTTTGATGATAATCTGCTCTGTCACTGTGCTCCACTAATACGCTCCCGTCTCCCTCTGAGCTCCTCTTTTGTAGTTATTGTTTCCTCTCTCCTTTCATTCTTTCTTCCCCCTTTTTGCATGTATTCTGCCCCCCCCCCCCCCCCCCCCCCCCCCCCCCCGCCCTACATCCCCTCCTCCACCCCTGTTCTGTTTTCCCCCCTTTAGGAAGTTTTTATGGCATAATTGCCACATTCCTTCTGGCACAGTGAACCCCAGCTGTAATTAAAGAGCCTGTGTTAATTACCTGCCCCAGCTCTTTCTCTCGCTCTCCTCTTTTCTCAGCCCTATCTCTTTCTTTCTTCTCCTCCTCTCTCTTCCATAACTCTCTCTTTTGCCCCATCATCAAATACCCCATCTAACCACCGTCTTCCTCCCACATTTGTTCTAACATAAAAGTCCAACTCCCCCATTCATAAGGCAACTGTCCTTTCTGTGCTTCCCTGACACCCCACAAACATCAAAACGCTCTTTCTCTTCCTCTCTTTCTTTCTCTCTGTTACCATCTCTTCTATATCTCTCCATTTCCTCTCCCCCTTTCATAAGGCTGTGTGTGACCACAGAATGGGATGTTGGGAGAAAAAGAGGAATTCCCTATGATCTCTGTCTTTAGAGAGTGAAGTACCAGTGAAAGCACACACACACACACACTCATCCTCAGGGTATCATGTGTCTACCCTTATCAGCTGCTCCCTCATATTGGAAAGACGTTTCGCACTACTTTTGTCTGTCTTCCTCTTTTGTCTATCTATCCATCTGTCATCGCTCTGCTTGAATTGATACGGCCCTCCCACAGTTTTTACTCTCTCATATCCAGGGGGTTTTCTTTTCATGAAAGACAAAATTCCAAAATTCTAGAAAACTTTATTGCCGGTTCAAGTGAAGCTTGGCTTTACCTCTTTCCTCTAAACCGCTCCTTCCTTCTCTTCTCCCTTGTATCCATCCCTCTCTTTTTTCTCTCTCTCTCTCTCTCTCTCTCTCTCTCTCTCTCTCTCTCTCTCTCTCTCTCTCTCTCTCTCTCTCTCTCTCTCTCTCTCTCTCTCTCTCTCTCTCTCTCCTCTCCTCTCCTCTCCTCTCCTCTCCTCTCCAGTCCCTGTCCATTAATAGATCCATAAGAGAGGCTAAGACCAGATGCTGTCTTAAGACCTTGGGACTAAAAGGTTCTATCTGCGCAAAGCATAGTTTTGCAGACGACACAACAGTCGTAGGCCTGATCACCGACAACGATGAGACATCCTATAGGGAGGAGGTCAGAGACCTGGCCATGTGGTGCCAGGATAACAACCTCTCCCTCAACGTGATCAAGACAAAGGAGATGATTGTGGACTACAGGGAAAAAAAGAGGACTGAGCATGCCCCCATTCTCATCGACGGGGCTGTAGTGGAACAGGTTGAGAGCTTCAAGTTCCTTGGTGCCCACATCACCAACAAACTATCATGGTCCAAACACACCAAGACAGTCATGAAGAGGGCACGACAAAGCCTATTCCCCCTCAGGAGACTGAAAAGATTTGGCATGGGTCCTCAGATCCTCAAAAAGTTATACAGCTACACCATCGAGAGCATCCTGACTGGTTGCAACACCGCCTGGTATGGCAACTGCTCGGCCTCCGACCGCAAGGCACTACAGAGGGTAGTGCGTACGGCCCAGTACATCACTTGGGCCAAGCTTCTTGCCATCCAGGACCTCTATACCAGGCGGTGTCAGAGGAAGGCCCTAAAAATGGTCAAAGACTCCAGCCACCCTAGTCATAGACTGTTCTCCCTGCTACCTCACGGCAAGCGGTACCGGAGGTCCAAAAGGCTTCTTAACAGCTTCTACCCCCAATTCATAAGACTCCTGAACAGCTAATCATGGCTACCCAGACTATTTGCATTGACCCCACCCCACCCCCTCTTTTACGCTGCTGCTACTCTGTTTATTATCAATGCAGAGTCACTTTAACTCTACCCACATGTACATATTACCTCAATTACCTCGACTAACCGGTGCCCCCGCACATTGACTCTGTACCGGTACCCCCTGTATATAGCCTCCCTACTGTTATTTTATTTTACTGCTGCTCTTACATTTTTTGTAATTTAAATGTTTTACTTATCTATTTTTTACTTAAAACGTAGTTTCTTAAAACTGCATTGTTGGTTACGGGCTTGTAAGTAAGCATTTCACTGTAAGGTCTACACCTGTTGTATTCGGCGCATGTGGCAAATACAATTTGATTTGATTTTATTTTAGATATTGAGCATTAAAGCGTTTTCACATTTCAGATTTCAGAAATGTTTTGTAGTCAATTCTTCTTTCATAAGAAGACACATTAAGGTCCTCACCGTAAAGGTACCTAAAGTGCAGAGTATCAAAATCCTAAGACATTTGTAAATTCGTTTTTCTTTGGGGGGGGGGGGGGATATGTCAATCTGGGTTCAGCCTTAAGGTTCTATCTGGCACAGAATGTTTAAAATTATTTCAATTTCAATAGAAAAGTACAGACATATAATGATTAAATAATGAGAATACCCTTCCTTTTTTCTAGTCTCATCATCAAATATATTCATACATTTTCATCACACATTTTGTAAAGCAATAATTCCCTAACATGACAAATACCCTATATCCTAAGGATAACTAGCAATGTTGCTAAAGCTTAGCTCTGGATGAGTAAACTGATATATTGGTCTGGTCTCTGACACCCAAAGGCAGTAAATTACTTGATAGTTGTCCAAAAAATTTTGGTAAGTTAGTAATTTTTGTGAAATACCGCTTCCATGGAGGTTTTCATATTGATATAGAACAAGACAAAAACACGAATGCCTCTCCTAAGGGCCATAAACATGCTCTAAGGCACGTGTATTTATTTGTTTCTACCATAAAGAGCATAAAGAACATTCTTCTGAAAAAGTGGTGAAAAAAAAACCGAAGTAATTTAAAAATAGGACCAGAACCTATGATATGA